GAGGAAAGGATGGGGAGGGGGAGTGAGCGAGGGAGGGATGGCGAGGGCGGGAGCGAGGGACAGGCAGGGCGGGAGGGAGCATGTGACGGGGAGTGAGCGAGGTGCAGGGAAGGAGGGAGCGAGGGAGTGAGAGACGGGGAGGGAGGGAGCAAGGGACAGAGAAGGAGCGAGGGAGTGAGGGACGGGGAGCGCGGATGCCAGGGATGGGGGGAGGGATTGAGCGAGCAAGGGAGTGAGGAACGGGGAGGGAGGAAGCAATGGAGCGAGGGACATATAGCGAGCGAGCGAGGGAGCAAGGGATGGGGAGGGAGCGAGGGAAGGGGTATGGGGAGGGGTGAGGGAGTGGTGTAGGGAGAGAGGGAGGGACAGGGAGGGGGGATTGAGGGAGAGAGCGAGGGAGCTAGGGACAGGGAGCGAGGGAGTGAGGCATGGGGAGGAAAGAAGCAAGGGACAGGGGTAGGGAGTAAGCAAGGGACAGGGAGGGAGGGAGGGAGGGACGGGTCGGAGGAAGAGAGCGAGGGACGGGGAGGGCGGGAGGGAGGGAGGGAAGGACGGACTGGGAGCGAGGGGGGGAGGCATGGGGAGGGAGGGAGTGAGGGACGGGCAGGGCGGGAGGGAGCGACGGAGTGAGAGATAGGGAGGGAGGGAGCAAGGGACAAAGAAGGAGTGAGGGAGTGAGTGACGGGGAGTGACGATGCCAGGGATGGGGGGAGGGATTGAGCGAGCGAGGGAGTGAGGAACAGGGAGGGAGGAAGCGAGGAAGTGAGGGAAGTATAGGGAGCGAACGAGGGAGCAAGGGACGGGGAGGGAGCGAGGGAGGGAGGGAAGGAAGGGGAGGGGGAGGCAGCGAGGGAAGGGGTATGGGGAGGGGTGAGGGAGCGTTGTAGGGAGAGAGGGAGGGACGGGGAGCAGGGATTGAGGGAGAGAGCGAGGGAGCTAGGGACAGGGAGTGAGGGAGTGAGGCATGGGGAGGAAGGAAACAAGGGACGGGGTAGGGAGCGAGCAAGTGACAGGGAGGGAGGGAGGGAGGGACGGGTTGGAGGAAGGGAGCGAGGGACGGGGAGGTCGGGAGGAAGGGAGGGAAGGACGGACTGGGAGCGAAGGAGTGAGGCATAGGGAGGGAGGGAGCAAGGGACGGCAGGGCGAGAGGGAGCGAGGGAGTGAGAGACAGGGAGGGAGGGAGGGAGGGAGCAAGGGACAAAGAAGGAGTGAGGGAGTGAGGGACGGGGAGCCAGGATGCCAGGGATGGGGGAGGGATTGAGCGAGCGAGGGAGTGAGGAATGGGGAGGGAGGAAGCGAGGGAGCGAGGGACATATAGGGAGCGAGCGAGGGAGCAAGGGACGGGGAGGGAGAGAAGGAGGGAGGTACAGTGCGAGGGAGGGACAGGGAGGGGGGAGGGAGGGAAGGAAGGTGACGGGGAGGGAGTGAGGGAAGGGATATGGGGAGGGGTGATGGAGCGGGGTAGGGAGAAAGGGAGAGGCGGGTGCAGGGATTGAGGGAGAGAGCGAGGGAGCTAGGGACAGGGAGCGAGAGAGTGAGGCATGGGGAGGAAGGAAGCAAGGGACAGGGGTAGGCAGCGAGCAAGGAACAGGGAGTGAGGGAGGGAGGGAGGGACGGGTCGGAGGGAGGGAGCGAGGGATGGGGAGGGCGGCAGGGAGCATGTGAAGGTGAGTGAGTGAGTGGCAGGTAGGGAGGGAGTGAGGGAGTGAGGGACGGAGAGGGAGGGAGGGAATGAGTGATGCAGAGGGAGCGAGAGAGGGAGTGACGGACGAGGAGGGAGCGAGGAAGGGAGGGACGGGAACAAATAAGCGAGGGACAGGGATCGAGGAGTGGGGAGTGAGGGAGGGAGGGACGGGGAACGAGGTAGAGAGGAATGGGGAGGGAGGGAGAGAGGGAGTAAGGGATGTGGAGGGAGGGAGTGAGGGTCATTGGGGCAGGACGGGGAGTGGGGAGGGTGGGATGGGGTCCGAGGAAGTGAGGGACGGGCATCAAGGGAGTGAGGGAAGGAGGGAGCGAGGGAGGGACGGGGAGGGGGGCAGGGAGGGAGCAAGAGAGCCAGTGAGGGACAGGGAGCAAGAGAGAGAGGGATGGGGAGTGAGGGACGGGGAGGGAGGGAGCGAGGGACAGGGAGGGAAGGGGACAGAGCAAGAGATGGGGAGGGTAGGAGTAGAGGACGGGGAGGGAGGGAGAGAGTGACGGGGAGTGAGCGAAGGAGGGAGCGAGAGAGGGAGCAAGGGAGGGAGCGAGGGACAGAGAGGGAGTGAGGGAGAGTGCAAGCAGGGAGCAAGGGAGCGAGCAAGGAAGGAGCGAGGAAGGAGCGAGCGACAGGGAGGGTGCGAGGGTCCAGGAGGGAACAACAGGGAGGGAGTGAGGGATGGGGAGGGAGGGAGGTGGAGAGAGGGATCAAGGGACGGGGAGTGAGGGACGGGGAAGGAGGGAGTGAGGGAGTGACAGGGAGTGGGGTGGGACGGAGGGAGAGAGGGACGGCAAGGGAGCGAGGGATGGGGAGGGTGCGAGGGAGTGAGGGAAGGGAAGGGAGCGAGGGATGGGGAGGGAGGGAGGATCCAAGGGATGGGGAGGGAGGGAGCGAGGGACCGGTTGGGAGCGAGGAAGTGAGGGATGGGGAGAGAGGGACGGGGAGGGAGGGAGGGATGGAGATCAAGGGAAGGGGAGGGAGGGGGCGACAGGGAGTGAGCATGGGAGAGGGAAAGAGGGAGCAATAGGGAGTGAGCGAGGGGGAGGGAGCGAGGGACGGGGAAGGAGAGAGGGATGGCTTGGGAGCGAGGAATGTGGAGGGAGCAAGGGACGAAGCAAGGGACAGGGAGGGAGAGAGGGACAGCGAGAGAGGGACTGAGAGGGACTGATGGGGATGGATTGAGTGATGGGTGGGAGGGATGGGGAGGGAGGGAGCGAGGGCAGGGGGAGGGAGCAAGGGAGGGACAGGGAGGGAGCGAGCGAGGGACAGGGAGTGAGAGATGGGGAGGGAGTGAGCGTGGGACAGGGTAGGGATGGACCGAGCGACGGGGAGTGAGGGAGAGAGGGAGGGATCGAGGGATGGGGAGGGATCGAGGGAGGGAGTGAGGGAGGGATGGGGAGGGACAGGGAGGGATGGGGCGAGGGACGGAGCGAGAGACAGGGAGGGAGCGAGAGACGGGAAGGGAGCGAGAGACGGGGAGGGAGGGAGGGAGGGACGGGGTGGGAGCTAGGGAGGGAGCGAGGGACGTACAGGGAGCGAGAGAGGGAGTGAGGGATGGGGAGGGAGAGACAGAGGGAGGAACCGGAGCAAGTGACGGGAGCAAAGGACAGAGGAACAGGACCGAGGGATGGGGGGGGAGCGACGGTCAGGAGCACGGGATGGGGAGGGAGCGAGGGATGGGGTGGAAGTAAAGGACGGGGTGTGAGCAAGGGACAGGGAGGGAGCGAGGGATGCGGAGCGAGGGACAGGGACAGACAAGGAGGGGGAGGGACAGGGAGGGAGCAAAGAGGGGGAGGGAGGGACAGGGACGGATGGTCAGGGAGGGGGAGAGGGAGGGTCAGGGAGGTAGACAGGGTTGGACGGATAGGGAGGGAGCCTGTCTCTCTCCAGGTGAGCTTCTTCAATACAAAGACAAACAACAATATAGTTTGCTGTGCTGCTTGGGACTTTTTAATGAACGCTAATTACATACTGAACTTGTGGATGCAGTCAGTGGAATGGTGCCTTTTCTCTTTGGCCTGTGAGTTGAGAGAAACATTGCCATGTTTCCCTGTAACCCCCTGTGGGATAAGGTTGGATAAACCAGCACTACCCTCAGTCTGTTACCATAGCGACAGGATGCTTCATTGCTGAAACATTGAACTGAAATGAGAAAATCCTGGATGCATTGATTAATGAGTGAATTTGATTGATTGATGAATTTGGGGAAAGGGATATTTCAGCAAATTCTTCAGCTGCTGCCTGAACTTAGTCTGGGTCACAGCATAAATCGCGGTGTTTGTGCAGCAACTGAGGAGCTGCAGCATGAAGCCCAATTCCCGCACAAAGAGATGTAGATACACAGAATAATACCCAATCAACCACATCCGGAACCATATAGAATACACCATTAACGTTGACCATAACAGGATGAAATTGGCCGAGATCACAAACAGTAAAATGATGGATTTTTTTCGATTTTGCATTTCTGTGTCACACTGACCGTCTCCATTGGTGTGAGCCCGTACTCTCCTGCGGGCTCTGCTGGTCACTAAAATGTGTCTGACGGTGGAAACATTGAGCAGCAGAATCAGGAGAAATGGGAGAGTCGGGTTTAGAATGTGGTGGAGGGACTCGATTGTGGTCCAGACACGAGAGAATAAAACATCGCCTGTTCCTTCACAAAACCAGGGGATGTTCCCCAGCCAATAGCGACCTGTGAGCATAAAATACCAGAAAATGTTCTTTAAACAGCTCAGCACAGTCACTGTTCCCAGAACCACAGCCGCCGTTTTCTCATTGCAATATTTACCTTTCAGCTTCTGGCAACAAATGGCCACAAATCGATCAAAGGTGAAAGTGACGGTGAACCAGACAGAACAGTCAGTGGCTGCATAAAGCAGGACGGCATGGATATTACACACGGGGTTGGACCACAGGAAATAAAACTGTTCTGGATAAACAATGGGAATGTGTCTCAATATCAGGTCGAGAATAATGACCAGTAGATCCGCCACTGCCATGGCCCCCAGGTAACGTCTGACACATGGAGATAATCCACAATCTTTATAAAGCAGGACGTAGATCGTCACTACGTTAACTGTGAGGAAGGAAAACAAATAAAATATATGTCAGCCTGGAGGCAAAGTTACCAGTTTGATTGAGGACCCAGTGACATTTTCAAATGTATCACTGATTATTGAAAAAAAAATGAAGCTGAAATAACAAATAGTAATGTCTCAATTTTTTTAACAAAAAACGGAACATAAAATACAAGAAACTCTCCCTCCAGAAAGAAAGAAACGCACATCCATAAGAACAGATGGTTTCGAGAACTTTCTCAAACACTCGATCACTCGAGAACAGACACAGGTCACTTCTTTATAGTTCCTAATAAGGAGGGTGAAGATGTTGCCGTCCTGAAGGATTCTCTCCCAGTTCCTTGAAGACAAACAGAGTTTGGAAATTTCTGTCTTTTCGTCTAAATTGTGGTCAATTTTCGGTTGTGAGGAAACATGAACACAGGAAAAATGTATCCACCCCTTTAACTGGTTGAGGGGATTTTGAAACACTGTGTCCTTCTCCCTGGAATGGGATCTGTTTCCTCGGGATCTTATCTTTTGTTCAATTAACTGAAATCCAGCCGTTCACAAATAATATCAGTTACAGAATGTTCTGGGGAATGTCGGTTACAGAATATTCCGGGGAATGTCGGTTACAGAATGTGATGCAGTCATAAAGATCCACATCACAAAGGCCCTTCTGTCCATCAGTTTTGGTGAGACCCACTCAGCCTCGCCGTGGAAATCTCTCCTCAAACTCAACTCAACTGGAAAACACAAATTAAAGGCATTGCCAGATCAGCTGAAGTGGTCAGTTATCTCACATTCTCAATCCACCTCACAGAACCAGCCCAGACACCACAAACCCTGATGAAATATCTGTTCAGCATGGAGCACTGTGCAGACCAGGCTCGTGTCCTGCTCAATACAACCCGGCAATCTGTCCAGAGTGGGACGCTGTGCAGGCCTCACCAATCAACTCGGTATCAGTCCAGCACGGGGAGCTGTGCAGACCACAAGAGTGCATTGATCTATAAACCCGGACCAGGTATCTCTCCAGCACGGGGGGCTGTGAAGTGAACACCACTGATCTGTATACCCGGAGCAGTTACCCTCCCAGCGTGTAGATCTGTACAGACCACCACAGTGCAGTGCTCGGTAACGCTGTGTTAAATCGCTGCCGAGTCTGGGGAAACTTGCAGCCCATGCTGGAAGTGACAGGATGTGTGGCTCCCATCCATTTACAGCTCCATATCTCCAGTGTGCCATGACAAAGGTTGCCATGGGTGTGAAAATCACTGCCAGAGAGAGATGATGGGGCATCAGTTTAAATAAGGACAAATGGGATGGGTTTGGGATATCTCGACAGGGAGGGGGAGATTGAAAGACGTTGTCATGTAAGGATGCGGTCACAAGTTTTAGAATGCTGACATGTAGACATTTTGATAGCATCTTGCAACATGGGTCAGTTTTTACAGGAATGATGCGTGAATAGGATATTGCTGAGTTCAGATGATGGAGAGTTTTGAATGAATATTTGTTCTGCATTTGTGAGTGAGAGTGTGGTGAGCATAGTCTTTGACTCTTTGGGCTGAATACAACAATAATTTGTCTCAGTGACATCTTAATTGTGTGTGACAGAAGGATAGTCTGCAGGAGGCCGAGCTAGTTTTCTGGTGCTATCTTATTAAACTCTCCTCATTATCTACCTACCCCAGCACATGCCATTCCTCTCATTCAATGCCAGCCTGATTCTCCCACCCATCATGGCTGGTAATAGTTCCCTTCGCCTGGATGTCCCGGGTAATCCTTGATCCTTGGCGCAGGTGCCATCTTTAAAAGGCCAATGGGCGCACAGTTGACCTTTCTCAGTCCCGGAGCAGCCCTGCACGGTTTACCCCGAGCCTGGCAGATAAGGGACAATTGCACCAAAATTTGTTGAAAGGGGCACGGAAGTCCTAATAGATGGACTCGTACAGAGAAGGACCATTCTCTTTCCAGAGGAGTCCACACTACCAGACCCATCTCGCATGGTCTGAGCTCACCACCCAGCTCAATGCAGTATCTGGGGTCTGAAGAAATGTCCAGAAATACAGAACAGGCATCAGTAACCTTCCCGGCTCTGTCAGGATAAGTGTCACTGTATTCTATCTGCTCCCTCTTTCTCTCTCTCTGTCTCCCTTTCTCTTGCGCCTCCGCTACTCCCCTACACTGAAAACACTGCATGGATTCCACACTGTTGACTGGCTCACTCCAGCCACCTCACCATTTCCGCCCCGCCTACACCATCACTAACAGCAGGTCCAATCACTTTAACCCTCACTGTCTCCCTCCCTTTCTCTTATTCCAGGAGAAACAGCCTGGAATAGGACAGAAAGGGCCGAGCCAGGCGTTGGAGTGCCCGACATCAGTTCCGTCCACCCCTGCCCGTACCAGGCGGAGAGGAGCCTGGTACGAGCCAGACAGAACCGGTATATGACCCGTGTGGAGATTCTGAAACATCCCCGTCCCACCAAACGAGTAAGGAGCAATGTTCAGTGAAGGGTAATTCTCACTTTAAACTCACTGTCAGTTCCACTTCCACCTGGTACAGCTCAGAAGCTGTGGCCCTGATGCCATCTCCCTTTCATATCGAGCCGGTACAAATGGATTCCCCATGATCTCGGTGGGCAGGAGGGTGGGCTCTCAACACATCGTCTCCACCAGCTCCCAGGAAGGGAGCACGGAGTCTCCCTCCTACACCTCCTCCTTCAGACAGCACAGATACTGAAACTAATCTATGACAGTTACTGGTCTCCCCACGTGTCCTGACAACTTCAATAATACAGCATTGAAATTGTCATAGAGTCACAGTCCCCATGGAACAACTGAAATACTGTCACACTCACTACAGTGAGAAAATACTGATATACTCTTACAGAGTGAGTCAAATAATGAAACGCTGTCAACGGAACAACAGAAATTCTAACACACACCAGAGGGAGGGAATAAAATATTGACAAAGCACAGAGCAAGTGAAATCCTGATAGGCTCCCCTTATCTGTGTAAGTATTGGTGTATTTGAGTGTGCATCCGTGTGTCTCCGTGGTGTTTGAAATGATGCAATACCACCCTCTGCTGGTCTCCAAACGCCACTGCACAGACAGTGGCGGAGGATGAGAACCATCAGGAATTTATTCAGAGAGGGACTGGGAGGGCAGGAGATCACATCACCACCCAAACTGAATTCTTATTCATGTACTTCCCTAAATGTCTTTTAAAAGTTGTAACTGCATCCACTCCCATCATTTCCTCTGGAATTTCATTCCACACACAAACGATTCTGTGGAAAATAATTACCCCTCATGTCTTTTTAAAATCTTTACTCCTCTGAACTTGAAATACTCTCCTAGTCTTGAAATCCTTCACCCTAGGGAAATACATCTGTCATTCAACTTAGCTGACCCCTCATGATTTTATAAACTTCTATAAAGTCACCCCTTAATCTCCAACGTTCCAGTGAAAAAGTCCCAGCCTATCCAGCCTCTCCTGATAACTCAAACTAATCTTTCCAAGCAACATCTTCGGAAATGTCTTTTGAAGCCTCTCCTGCTTAATATCATCCTTCCTATACCAGTGCGACCAGAACTGGTGACAGTACTCCAGAAGAGGCTTCACCAACGTCCTGTGCAATCTCAACATGACGTCTGGACTCATAAACTCAAAGGTCTGAGCAATGAGGGCAGCATACTGAGGGCCTTCTTAACCACCTTGTCTATATGTGTCTCTGTTCTATGAACATACCAAGAGTCCGACTTTAATTGTATAAGTCCTGCCCTTGTTTCTTTGACCAAAATGCAACACCTTGCATTTATCCAAATTAAACACCATCTGCCATACCACAGCCCAGTGAGTGATATTCCCAACCACCACACTATCACTTCATGTTTTGATTGACCCTCCTCCCTCCAGAAGGCCTACAAACTCTGGCCTTGATTTTCCCAAAGATCTTGAGCATGGTTTGCCTTGTGCGGGCAGGAGGAGGAGGGGGTTGGATTGCAGACCAGCCAGTGGTGAGGAGACGCTGGAATATAATTTGTTGCCTTGTGAGATTTAATGGTTTCAGGAAGAAGGCGAGAAATAGTGATCTGCAATGCAATCTTTTGGGACAGGAAATTATGCTCTTTCGTTGTCTCTGGTCTTCAGTAATAATATTTATTCGAGATCCTTCATAGCGCACAATGTGTCTGCAGGATTTCTTTCCCTATCATTGCAGTCTACAGATGATAGTCATTAAACTGGAAATCATAGCCAAACAATTAAAGATGTTAATAATTTATCTCGATGGCAGAGCACATGCACTCAACATCCTCTAGTTGAGGCAAATACCTTGCATTTGTTGAACAATTAACAAAAGTTCTCTGTGTAATTCAGTAAAATTAATCAGAATTTAAGAAATCTAAACTTAGCTGAAAGCTGGCAATTAAAATGTGACCCAAAATCTTGGCATGACTTAGGTCTTGTGCAGTGGGTAACGCCCATGCCTCTGAGGCAGAGCTCTGGATTTGATTCCAATCCCTGAACCTATGGAAATGTCCGCAGCTCTGGAACAGAAGTTCTGGAATCAAGTCATGCGTGTTGCAGAGATGTGTCACAGCATGTCAGAACAGGTTAATGAGCAGACATAAAGGAGAATAATGTTGCAGATTCAGGGGCTATTGCCGAGCGGTGGTCGTGTCCCTACCTCTGGGACCAAAGGTCAAGATTCAAATCCCAGAGGTGTGCTTCATAATATGTCTGAAAAAGTTGATTAAAATCATTTCAGAGTTGTGACTTGATCGAGAAGGAAGAGTGTTGATTCGAGTAAAATTTGCACCTTATAGATATTTGTAAAATCATGAAGGGCATGGAAAGAGTGAATAGTCAAGGTCATTTTCCAGGATATGGGATTCCAAAATAAGAAGACATGGGTTTAAGGTGAGAGAGGAATGTTATAAAAAGGACCTTAGAGACAATCTTTTCACAAGAAGATGATGAGTATATGGAACAAAGTGTCAGA